CCAAGCAAGGCCCATGCTGCCAGCTCATGAAACCACGTGCTCGTGACGAAGCCGAAACCAAGAGTCAGTCACTTAACCCACTGAGCCCCCCGGGTGCCCTGAACACAATTTTTATTCTTATATACTGACTTTAGAAACGTGTTCATAGCTATATCAGATAAGACTCTCTACATATCTTTTTTTTTTTCTTTTCTTCTCATTTCTTTCTTTTAGGCAAACATTTAACATTCCCAGTAGATCTGATCCCTAGTACCCATTAAAGAAATCAATTAGTAAAGCAAAAAACTTATTGAATATCTGCAGTATGCCAACCTAGATGCTATGGGCAATAAAATAAAACATACTACTTGATATCAATCTTCAAGTAATTAAAAAAATTATGCATGAAAATGGCAGAGGCCAGACCACGACTCTTTACTACCCAACAATCACACATCTTTGTATTCCATGAATTAAATTCTAGGGAGACTGAGGGATTATGTTATGAGTGTGCTATGGAATAATCTGAAAAAAAAAATTTGTAGGCAGTGTTTGAGGTGAGTATTAAAAGAGGAAGTATAGATTAGATAGAGTAAATGAAGTTGTTTTCTTAATGTACTGCTACATGGTTAAATGACTGATAAGATTCTCAAAATAGAGAATCCTAGTTCAGAACAATTTCCTAGGACCCAAAAAATGGTTGGGGCGTGGGGGAACAGGCAAGGTGGCAGACTCAAATAGAATGAATTAGTTGCCCACTTTATTTTGGAATTCAAAAAGCAAAATTTTGAAAATGACATTAGAATGTTCTCTGGCTTTCAGAGAACTCATTGGTTTGACACACTGCATATATTACAAATGGCCCTTGAATTTCTTACTAGTGAATTGGGGACCAGTTGAGGCTATCCACAGGAAGGAGACTTTTTTACTATAAAGACAGCAATTCACCATGGAAGTGTTGAAACAGATTAAAGTCATGCATTTGCGAGTGGAAGAGAGCCAAAGCATAAGAGACTCTTAAAAACTGAGAACAAACTGAGGGTTGATGGGGGTGGGAGGGAGGGGAGGGTGGGTGATGGGTATTGAGGAGGGCACCTTTTGGGATGAGCACTGGGTGTTGTATGGAAACCAATTTGACAATAAATTTCATATATTGAAAAAAAAAGAAAGTAAAAAAAATTTTAAAAATAATAAATAAATAAATAAATAAATAAATAAATAAAGTCATGCATTTGCATATACTATGAAAATCTCTTAAAAAGTCAAAGATCCTAACAGAATATCCAAATGCAATCCCTAATTTCTATTACACCGGAAGGAAGCTAAAAATGTATAAAACACGCATACAAAACAACAGTCTAATGCAACTTTTTCATTTTGACATTCTGTTGTAACCAACAAAAATGATGACCAAGTCGATAATCTACCTAAAAAACAAGTATGGTTATGGCATAACTGGCCACACCTTTTCCGATTTTTTTTTTTAACAAACACACCTGTATTCTTTATTCATATACAAAGAAATACACTCAATTTAACATTGTCACATGTGTAGGTTAGGCCAAGCCCTGTTAACTGCGGGAGCTTAGAACCTGGAAGACAACAGGGTTCACTGATGTATATACAGTCCCCTGCAGAAGAACAGGAGGAAGAGCTCTGCAAACACCAATCGAGGAAACTCTGGCTCCCTTGTGAAATAGTATCTGGGAAGTAATAGGCCATTTGTGATGTGGCCGCAAGCAGGAATGGAGGTATCTTGTTTTGACCAAAGCTCCGTGATACCTTGAGTGGCAGAGAGATAGCCCCGCAAGCCAGGCTCTACCAGCAGCCGCAAGGGACGAAAGTCTCCAGAAGCACAGAGTCACGCGAGGATTGACTGCAGTAGTCTCCATCTCTCTTTCTGGGATTAATGCCCATAAAGATAGCAGCACCGTCCTCGGTGTCATCTTCCAAACAAAGGACCACAATGCAGAGAGAACAATATTAATTATAGTCAAAATCACTTGTGCACTCAGCGATTTCAATAGGGACAATCAGTTTAAGTGGCAATGGCAAATTCTCAACATAAAACACACTTGCTACAATCCAAACTGGATTTCGAGAGAGGTGAGCAGCCGCTTTAGTTGTTTAATCTGGTTATATTTGAGCTAAAGTAGTTCACATTTTTAGAATGAATGAATCAAAGGCGTAATTGTTTTTGTCATCTGCACAGCAATTTTACTCCTGAATGCATTGTTTTAGGCAGGAATTAATAAAAATTGCATGTGCTTCAGGTGCTGGGTAGATCACCCTTTTCCACACAGCCCAGCCTGGAGCTGTGAATGCTCCTTTTCTTATTATCAGTTAATAATTCTCTCTCATTGAGGCAAATTAGGAACTTGACTGTGTTCGAGAGTCCAGAACACTGCTAGAGGCAAAAGGGGGCTAAATGGCAGAAATTCCTGTCTGAGCAAGATGCATGAAGCACGACATTGTGTCCACCACAAAAGCCGCTCTGTATTTTTGATCCTTTCTAATTTAATTAGCCCAAGAGGTAGCGCATTAATTTGCCAAGAATTCTTCTGATGCGAAAGCTGCCCTTATTGCAGTGAAGGGAAAAAATAACCTGCGTGCTACAGTGGCATGCTAGTAATGAAAGGGGGTTATTTTTGTGTTACAAATGGCATTGCAGGGTTACAAGAGACCTTTAAACCTTTTTATCTCTGGTTAGGTCATATGTAACACAGTGCAACACAAAGCGCTAATTAACCAATTCTGGTCCAGACATCTTTTAGAACACTTAAGAGAGTTGCACAGTTAGAACCCAGGTCAAACGCATGTGCTTTGTTTGCTTTTAAAACCTGAAAACATCCTCTGGTGTAGACATTAAAAATAGAACAGAAAAAATCATCCACTGGCAGTTCAGTTACTCTACAGACTCGGCACTCTCGATGTTTATTCTCGTCTTTGTTTTCTTTCTGTTTAATGATATTCTTTATGTGGGCAAGCTGGAGCCTTGAGGTCCCTTAGAAGGTCTCTTGGCTCTTTATGCTGTATTTGTTTGGTAAATTGTCTCCATGTTAATCGTCTTCATCAAATGCTTGGAGTCGGTTTTGAAAAACTTTGATCACATCTACCACCACCAATCCTCTTCATCACCATGTGCTTCTGACATGCGCTCCTGCACTCAAATAGGTCATTTACTCATTAAAGAATGAGAAACATGCATCCTACCATAAATTCTCCCCAATACTTTGAACTGTTAATTAAGCTTATGTAATCACGTCTCCTGGTTGCGGAACTATTTCTCTTCCAGAAATTACAGGAGCCCGCGTAGGGACTTGCAACACCCTGTCGCCTTTTCTCATCACTTTCCATCCCTGCTGCCTGAACATGGTTGGGTAAAAACACTCCCTCCCAGAGACTAAGTCAAGAAAACCTGACGATTATTACATTTTACATTCAATTCTCCTGTCCCTTTAGTGAAAACCAGTGGAAGACAATAGCTGTAAAGGAAAGCATTGATACTTTGCTCCCTCCCAGCTTCTGGCTAGAAATCAGTGAATTAAGGGAAGGTGGCATTCAGAGTGTTTCCGGCTGTGTATTCTGGATACCTAGAGGCATCGCAAGTAGCCTGATTATGGGAGAGTGTAAGATTTAGTAGCCAAACTGAGAAGAGGAAATTAGCATTGTCAAGACGTAGGGCAGGATGGACCCAGGTTCAAGGGAGTGGCCTGGGGTGAGAAGGCAGAGAGCAGAGGAGAGAGAAGAGAGGGATCTTTCTTAAAAAGGGATTATGGACAAGAGGTTTAAAAAAAAAAAAAAAAAACAAGGAAAGGAAAAAGTAATTGGGTGTTAATTGCAAGGGAAGGATAAGGGTTGGGGGGGGTGAATTGAATTAGGAGAATCTCTAAATTTAGCAACATTTTCTCATGGACAGCAGTACGAAATAATCCGGTTTCTTAAAACAGAGCTTGTCCTTTCAAAACATTTTTATTTTTTAAAGGAAACACACTTCCAGACATTTTCGTTCCAACCTAGAAATACTTTTCAGTTTGATTTACAATGCACAGCTTAAAAAACCCTCGAATTAATTTTTGTTCTGAACTTAAAATTCTTTATCTTTTATATTGCTTTGTAGATTATGCTTAAAAATCCACATCTACATAATAAGATGATGGTTTTCTTATATGAATTAAAAAGCTCATATATATGTTATTAATATCACATACGAGCAAGATAACTTAGCTGAGAATGTGCTTTTATAGATATATGTTAAACTGTTCTGAATTTTTCCAGGTTGTCCAAATGATTTGAAAGGGTAAAAAGATTTTTTAATACACAGTAAATACTTCTGAAATAGTGAATTAAAATGAAAAACAGATGACACATTTATTCAGCTTTTGGCTTCTGTAACATCAAACAGCACATTTTCTTCAAATGGTTTCATCAGTGGACCGGTAACCTCTTAAAATGATTGACTCAAACATGTCACTTATTTGATGATTGCAGGTTTATAAAATAGTCCCTATTTTTTTTTAATCCATCAACATGTTACATATGTCTCACAATAGATTAAAAGGTAGCATTTATTCCTATGCTTTCTCTGCAGATAATTTTAAGTTTTCAAATAAAACGATGATATAATGTATGAATAAAGTATGTTAAGTCCATTAAAGAATATCTTAAAATTTGTAGTTGATTGATTTTATTAAAGGAGTTTAATTTAGTTTAGTTTTGTTTTTTTAAAGATTGATAAAGTCCATCTAACCCCAGCTCACAGAAAGAAAAAACGGAGCAACTTTTTACCAGGATGATATGCAGGCGTGGAATTTATTCGAAGTAAAGGATGGAAAGCAAATGAAAGGCATATACAAATTTGAAAGGAAAAAAATTAGCAAAATCATTATTTTGAGTTCATTTTTAAATAAATGATAAGAAACTACTTTCAATGACTTGATAAAACGAAATTTTTTTTTTCTCTTGAATTCCAGATACCTCCCTAATCTCAGAGAATACACAGCAGAGCAGAAACAACTTACCTATGTCTACTTTCAAGATAAAGCCAGGACCCTGAGATCTCAATCCATCCTCCACGGAGGATGTACCATGGAGCCCACACCAGGGTAGGTCTGAGAGTGCATACATTCCCTGATATGCTCATATTCTCCGTGTCCCTGGAAATCTGTTGATACTTAAATACTCTCAGTTGGGACAAGTTTAAGAGGAACTAAAAATATAAAATCCTCCCTGGAGAAAAAGGAAGAGTGAAAGACCAATGGCAAGAAACAGATTTCTCCCCAAACATACCAAGAATGAAAAAGGGTACCTTGACCTCTTAGTGTGGGCCTGGGATAAGTGTCCTGAGGTGATGTCTCAGGCAGGGTCACAGTCCAAACAGATGACACACTCAAGCGTGGAGGCTGAAAAGAGTTTAATAAAAGGACACTCTACAAAAATACGGTAGGGAAACTGCTCAGAAATGGAGTGCACCGGGGCCAGTGACAGCAGAGAGCCGGTTACACCGTGAGGCCTTGAGAGGCAAGAGGAAGGAATGGTCATCAGAGCCCAGAGAGAGGTGACTGCAAAGGACCACTCACTGGCACAGAGGCCACTGCTTGGATAGAGGGCCACAGGCAACTCACCACCGCTCACCAGGGAGGGGGCTGGGAGAACTAACACATAGACCCCACTCTCCTCCCACCCTCTGCCCCACCATCGTCATGAGACTGACAGAGACCAGCCAGAAAGCAGAGAGCAGTGCTTATAATCAGCCTCTCAGGGAGACAATGGCCTGGAAGGGCTGTCATAAGATAACCAGCATAGGTGACTTTGAATATTTAATTGTGGAGAAGAAACAGTTCTTAACATGAATACAAACTGCTAATGACCTTGTGGAAGGAAAACACGGTCTCTTTTCCGGAAGCAATATTTGCAGTACTCTAGGATAAGAAACATGTATGTATATGCCCTCACCCATATGTGTGAGGGCACTCACACATACCAAACTATTCTTCAAAGAAAAATAGAAGCCAAATTATGAAAAATAAAATATATAAAATTATGACAATAAAACATAAGAATGTACAAAATTATAGCTAACTTTAAAATTCTGCGACCAGCCTCAGTTTCTCACCATTAAGAAATATAATCTATCCAGTTAAGGTGTTAAAACACACGGGGAACAGCGAGAGAATGAGGAAGAAAAGAAAAAGTAAAACAAGAAGAGACAAACAACTACGGGAAAAGTTAATTGAAACGTGGTTCTTGGGGCGCCTGGGTGGCGCAGTCGGTTGAGCGTCCGACTTCAGCCAGGTCACGATCTCGCGGTCCGTGAGTTCGAGCCCCGCGTCGGGCTCTGGGCTGATGGCTCAGAGCCTGGAGCCTGTTTCCGATTCTGTGTCTCCCTCTCTCTCTGCCCTTCCCCCGTTCATGCTGTCTCTCTCTGTCCCAAAAATGAGATAAAAAACGTTGAAAAAAAAAATAAAAATAAATTATAAAAAAAAAAAAAAAAAAGAAACGTGGTTCTTTTCATTTCCCTTTTCTTCCCCAGAATGCAGGCCCAGATTGCTTGCTAATTCTTAGAAGCCAGAATCTAAGGGTCCCCTGAAATCTCACTGCTCTTGAGGTTTTTTCTTTTTCTACAAGCCAGCAGATCCCACCCTGTTTTCTAAGCAATCTTAGAAGACATCTAGAAATACAGAAGTGTAATTCTCCAGTCAGGGGGAAATGGGGGACACTGGAAAGCTATTTCCATAACCAGTGAAGCTATTTTGGATCTGTATTTCTATTCTCCACCCATTACCCACCCCTTGTGCAGCTCCCGTGTGAAAGCATGAGGCTCCTCTGAAGATATGAAGGATCCTAGGTCACGGCCTTCTAGAGACAGTGTTTATGCATGCAACTCCGTGGGCCAGTCTCTGCTAAATAGTCTCCTTTCTCCCTTCCCTGACCTACGTACGCACAACTGAAAACATCAAAACTGCATATTCTCTGTCATGTCATGTAGAACGCCATCTTAAGTGCATCTTGATTCCTCTCTTTCTTCCTTTCCTCCTTCCCTCTTTATAACACGCCTTCATTTCATGGACCTTTACTGAGCTCCAGTATGCAAGCCACTGGGCAAGGCTAAGGATACAAAATAACTCAACATGCCCCAGCCAGATCTTGAGCAACACACAGAACCACAGAAAAAGAGAGACATACTGTCTCCCTGTCCTTTCCCCTCCCCCCCCACCCTTGTAACACAACAGCAGATACTAAACATATAAATGCATATCTAGAGCACATCTATGTATTATTGCATAAATGCGTGCATATGTATATACATAGTCTGATCCTAAAATACCTCCAGTCCCTTGGGGAAAGATCCTCCTCCACTCACCACACTGTCTCCTGGCATCATTGCTATGTTTCCTGGTCTTTCATTGAATTCCAACAGGTTTTCAAGAATTAAACATATGCAAGGAAGGTAAAGCATACTCAGAATGGCAGATATAAGCTCATTGCTGGATGAGAGCTCACGGTGGTAGGAGCTGGGAATCAGCTCTGGAAGAGGAAGAAGGACATAAATAAAAAGATGATATATGCAGACGGTATTTTATAAGACTGTGGGAGGAAAAAGAAAAAAAAAAACTAAGTACCCAGGTTCCCTTCAAAAATACCTTCTTTCCATTTTTTCCCCCTGGAAACCTACTCCTTAAGAACAAACCGGCTTGAAATTGAATCTTGGGAACTAAACTGTATGAGGACAGATAATATGGAAGAAAACCCTTCATTTGGGTAGTCACCACTTCTCGGAAGCATCTGCCTTAGGATAGAATATATGCTTCTCCAGAGCTATGAGAGTCAGCTGGGTAACCTTAAAAATTGTTGGGTCCAAGGGCACCTGGGTGGCTTGGTCCATTAAGCACCCAACTCTTGATTTCAGCTCAGGTCACGATCTCACAGCTCACGAGTTTGAGCCACACATCAGGCTTTGCACTGACACCACAGAGCCTGTTTCAGATTCTGATTCATATTCTCTCTCTCTCTCTCTCTCTCTCTCTCTCTCTCTCTCTCTCTCTCTCTCTCAAATATAAATATTTCTAAAACATTTTTTTTAACTATCAGGTCCAGCCCCAAACCAGGTGTGCCCAGGCACCAATATGGTTGAAAATCGCCCGGTTGAGGGGCACCTGGGTGGGTCAGTCAGTTGAGTGGTAGGCTCTTGGTTTTGGCTTAGGTCATGATCTCCAGGTTGCCTGAGTTCAAGCCCCGCATCAGGCTCTGTGCTGACAGTGCAGGGGGAGCCTGCTTGGGATTCACTGTCTCCTTCTCTCTCTGCCCCTCCTGCACTTGCGCTGTCTCTGTCTCTCTCAAAATAAACAAACTTTAAGAAAATAAAAAATAAAACTCCTCAGTTGGTACTAACGTGCAGCCATAGTTGTATGTAATAAGTATATAGGTAGACATATGATTATTGCATTCCTATCATCCTTAGTAAAAGAAAATTATTCTAAATAATTCGGTTTTGCTTTTGACATCAAGAATTTATTGGAATAATATAATAATATACCTTTAAACTCCTTTAAAAATAAAGATTGATATCAAATTTTTAAATAGAACCTATTGTTGTTTAAGATAACCGAAGCATGGAAGTTTTTTTAATGCTTAATAATAAAATGACCCTCCTAGAAAAATAGCAAGGTCTTGGTAAGCAGATGGAGTTTGGGTCAGAATAATGATGCAAAATTTTTATTCAAGCTTACTCCCTCCCACCCACATCTTCTATTTTCTCATCTATGCCTTGTCTGGAGTCTATTGTACAGAATTTAGATAGGTTGGTAATATGCAACACAAGTTAGTTTGGGTACTGCTGATTTACAGAGACTCAGTCTCTTTCATCCAAATATTCAGTAATTTTATAAATACATCTACTTTGGTATCCATTTTAGTAAGTAGTACAGGTCATGGTTTCCCAGCGCATTCACACAATTTAAGAAGCCACCTCGATGCTGGGCTTGTGCTGTGCACAACAGCAGCCGAAATTAAGGAAGGGCTTAGTCTTTAGAGGTATGCTCGCAAGGTATGGAAACCCAGATTAGCTCTGGCATGTAAACTACCAAAAACATTCTTGTTAACTGGGCAACATGTTTTCTAAAGGTGCAGAATCCACTTTGTTTCTATCACTTGTCAGAGTTAAGCATAAATAATGTACAAACAAACAAACTGTGCCAGTATAAAATGTAATATTTGTTTATGAGACACTTCCAGAATCTGACAGTGGCCCTCTGTTAACAATATTTAGGCCATAACTATATTGGCCAAATTTTTCAAAAAAATTCTTAAGCTTTGGGTAATGTTAATCAGCTTTAAAACCACCCCTGTATCTGGTTTCTAATCTCAGATAAAATCAGGACAGAGTCACCAATTCTAATGCTCATAATTTCACAGTAAAAGCTAAGCAAGAAGAATAATAAAGTAAGAGATTGTTATATAGCAGGCTAACATTCTCCTAATCCTGGGCTCCCTGGACTTTGGGATTTTTTTGAACCAGTAGAAATCCCTCAAAATGTTAGAAAGTTCACGGAGTTACCATTACTTTTCAAAACGTTGCCAAGAAAGAATATTAAAACTACATCCATTATCACTATATCACGATACCACACAAACACCAAAAAAGTAGAAAGTACAGAATCTCTCAATAAAGGATAATCCCACAAAAAGAATGCACTTGACGAAAAACAATTTTCCTTGAATATCTTCTTTCCCTGCAATACAGTTAAAATGTCATCACACATCAGCCTGAGTCCACCAGCCAGTATCTGAGAATCACTGTTCAGAGGGTGTTTATTTAGTCTCCTATCTGGTTTCTAGGAAAACCCTGCTTACGATCTCCTTGATACCCGAGCAGATCTTTCTATCCAGCCCATTGTAAAGGGTGCCTGGCACGCTCATGACAAATTAGAAAGGAGTTTTTCTCCGCCCAGCGCAGGGCTCCCAGCTCCACCAGAACTTGCAGGAGCACAAGCAACATCAGAAGAGTCACTTCCCTCAAAGATCACCATCAGTGCAATGCCAGAGTTCTCTTTAATAGTAGTCGTAGTGGTGGTAGTAGTAGTTGTAGTAGTGTCAGTAGTGGTAGTGGTGGTGGTACTAATAGTAGTGGTAGTGGTAGCAGTGGTGGTAG